ATGTTAGGTAGCCATTGGGTTAACCATTGGAACAAATCCCATCCTAGTCCTCATTATGTTATTTCTCCCATTAATTTTTTTAATTGTTTTTTTTTTTTTTGTATCCCTGGGCTATTGTCAGTCATGTTAAAACAACACATATTTTTTATTTTTTTACAACCCTGATGATGGAACAGGAGCAAGTAATCTATTGCTGCTCAATTGTCTAAAATAGCCTGTCGGTGTTCTTGTAACTCCTGATTAATTAATACCAAGGCAGATGAGGTAGCATTTAAACCTTTGACCACCTTGTATGCTAACTTTTGTATCACCTTTTCTGCATGAATTCCTATGACAGGTTGAGCAAGTACAGATGTTATCATAGGTATCACTTCAGCATCTGTCAAGAGACCTACATCATCATCACATCCTGGTTCAGTATAAGGTGACCAACGTTTAATTCTTTTGGGTGTTATCAAATCAGTTCTATCTGGCAATACTATGGCTAAGCGACTCAGGCAGCAGCGAGTCTCAGACAAGTAAGCAGGGATATAATTAAACATTACTACTTTACATGTATAAAACCATCCTGATGGTAAAGGTATATGACCATCATTATATATGATTTTTTGTTCCTCGTAACAGGTCATTTTTTCTAACATTTGTAATCTTAGACATTTTGTGGTACAATGTTTATATATAGCACATTGTGTATTGTTTAACATAATCATCTGAGGTGTATATAACTTAATAGCATTTTTTGGTTTAAAATAAGAGGGAGTCCCCCAATTGTAACTATCTTTATATGTAAGATATTTTTCTGGGATATCTTTAAACAGAGTATAAGGTTGTATCAGATTCAAAGGAGTGCACACAGGGATGAGACAACTCCCTAATACATAATGTAAATTTACATCTACATTTAAACAAAATTCAGACAAATTAAGTGATTGTGCTAGCTGAATCCAAACATTACCAGCAAGATCTAATTGTTTTTGGGGTAATATTGGCGATGTTCCAGAAAACAATGACTTAAAAATAATGATCATAATAAATGTTGAATTACGGGTCAATATAACAAACATTATTATTTCCAACAAAAGTAATTTATCAGATTCCCTTTTTACTTCTTGGATTTTTTAAAAGTTTTTGTTTGAATCTAAGAACATTTTGTTAGAATAGAGAGGGAGAGTCCAAAAGGAATCATGAATATATATTATAGGTTTTACAGTTATCCAATCTTTAATTATAGTAGTACTAGTATCATTTTGAAGGGCTAAATAATCATAATCTGACATACTTACACCTACCTGAGCAATAGATGAATTTAATAGAGATACCATAGTAAGGAAGAAAAGTACTGAGTGTCTAGGCTTGGGGGGGGGGCTGGGCCCATAGATGATGTGCAGTCTTGAGCCTTTGTTACCAGGTTAGTTAACATATCCCGATCAGGGAGTTTGGAATGGTTTTTAGCATGAGAGTTTTTCTTTTTCTCTTTGGTTTAAGAGAGAGCTTTCTAATTTTTTGAACAACCTCTTTTTCCAGTCTTTCTGGAATAGTGCTTAAAGGTTGTCCAAGCACTACCTGTTCTTGGAGACCCACCATCCAGGCCATTGTCTTGACTCCGGAATCCAATTTTTCATTCAGGAAGCCAGACCTGGGTTGCTCCGCCATCTGTGGAAACACAAGCATATCCCTTCCCCTTTGCAAGCATTTGTCCTGATGTCCAATTATTATGATCTAATTTTACCCAGACTGGTTGAGGTGATTTTGAATCAATTTTTTAAAAATGTTTTTCAGCCCGAGATTCAATGTCTCCTTGTGGCAAATTTTAAAAATTTAATGTAAATAGAGTAATGTGTAAAAGTTGATGTGGTGTTTGTATTAATTGTTTCATAAGTTTCTTATAAGTTGTATTTTGTCCTTCCCTTGAGGAATCAATTTCTTTTTCCCCGTATTCCCCCACTTTTATTTTATTTAATTGTAATTTTAATGTATGATGAGCTAGTTCTACAAGTGCTTGTCCCTGAGGATTATAAGGAATGCCAGTAACATCTTTTATATGGTATTCTTGTAAAAAAATTTTTAAATTTTAAACTAGTATACGCAGGTCCATTATCAGTTTTTATAGATCCAGGAACTCCCATAATAGCAAAACATTTTAACAAGTGAGGAATGACATTTTTAGTCAATTCTCCTGTACAAGCAGAGGCCCATATGAATTTAGAATAAGTATCAATGCATACATGTAAATAACATAATTTGCCAAATGGAGGATAATGAGTAACATCCATCTACCAAATTTGATCTGGCTTTAAACCTTTTGGATTAATTCCCATAGGTCCTTGTTTTAAGTGTAGTGGATAACAGGCTGGACATGATCTTATAATTTTATGGGCTTGGGAATATGGAATTTTATACCTTTGATGTAATCTCCCTGAATTAGTATGTAAAATATCTTGCTCTTTTGAGGCATTAACAAAATAAGTTACTTTTTTTTTTTTACTTACAAGTTTATCAGCTTGTTTATTACTAAAAGTTAAAGGGCCAGACAAATTGGAATGTGCCCTTATATGAGTAATATAGATGGGCTGTTGTCTTTCTCTAATTAAAGCTTGAATCTCTTTAGTTAGAAATTGTATTATGGATGAAGAGATACATATAACAGCAGTTTCTAATTGATTAATCAAATTAACTACATACATTGAATCTGCAACAATATTAATAGCTATATTAGGTTTCCATTGTAACAGAGCTAAGACAGCAAATAATTATTTTGTTGTGCCATATGATATGGGGTTAATACAACCTTTTGTTCTTTGGTAAATGGTAAAGTAACATTATCTGTTTTTTTCCTAACATTTGTCTGCTTCTGTTTTTTTTTTCCTAAAACTAATTTACCAATTATACTAACATATGAATTAATAGAAGAAGAATATTTATGTCTAGAATGTATCCATTCTAAAATTCCCTGACCTTGAATCAAAACTGCAGTAGGATATACTTTAGTGGGAAGGATCATGAGCCCTATAGCTATGGATCAAATCTTGTTAGCATTTTATTTTTAAAAGCTTGTTCTACCAATTGTAACTCCTTTTTACTTTCTGGAGTAAGAGTTCTTGGGCTATTTAAATCTGAATCTCCTTCAAGAGTGTTAAATTTGTTAGATTGCCAGTAACAATGCCTAAAGCAGGACAGACCCAATTAATATTATCTAACAATTTTTGAAAATCATGTAATGTTTTTAATTTACTTTTATCAATGGAAATTTATTTGGGAATTGTTTTATTTATTTATTTATTTATTTTATTTGTTGAAAATACTTTGGTGGTCGTACACGCTGATGTATGAGATGTCCACTGCCATGGCCCACACCACCAAGTTTGCCACATCCTGCAGGCTACACTGGTCCTCGGTCAGCACTAGCCCCATATACACGGGCAGCTGTTACAGCGCGCGGCCTTCCAAGCGCCAGCGCGGCCGGGCCAGGCCAGGCCAGGCCAGCAGAGCCCGGGGGTGGCGCCAGGGACTCCCACAGTACGAAGCCGAGCGCGGCTAGGACCACGGCGGCGGCGGCGCAGCAGCAGCGCCTCCAAGCCAAAGTCCAGGAGCTCAAGTGGGTGCACAGCCGGGCTGACTGCGCGTGGGGCAGGCAGCTCGTGCGGGCCAGTCATGTTCGCTCCACCCCGGGCGCCTGTTACCCCCTGCCGCCACGGCGGGCCATCTTTATTCCGCGTCCGCCTGCGTAGGCACTTTGGTCTCAAAAGCCTCACTTTACCCTCGCCGCCATCTTTTCCTGAGCTACTTTTTGAGGAGGAAGAAAAATCAGTATTAAATTTCTGTCTTTTGCGATTTTGGAGAGGATATGCTTTTATCATGGGCTGTTTTTTAGATTTGGCTTTTAAAGATTTATTATTGTTTTTAACTAATGGCATAGGCTGATCTATGGGTCCTAAAAGATCTTGTTGTATGGACATAGTTTTATTAGAAGCTTCTCCTCCCTGAGCAAGAGAACAAGCATTTCTAAGGTCTTTTGGGGGGGGGGGGTAAAGAAGGAGGTGCTGAAGGTGAGGGCTGTACTCCTGTGCACAAATTATTTTGGCCCTGAGGCGTTAAAGGGCAAGGAAATCCCCCCTCCCCCTCCTCATCAGATCTATCATCCTTATCCTGAGGTATAATTTGAATTAAATCATTTGTTGCTTTTTTCTCATCTTCCTCAATTAAACCTTGTTTTTTAAGAGCTAGTTTAGCCTGATCTGATAACTCTGTTCATGCAGTTAAACCGTCCTCACAACGAAGAATGAGCTGTATTGCGATAGCAGTTCCCCACAACCTGTCATCAATCATCATTCCTTCTTTATAAGCCTTTCGAGCACAAGCAAGCATTTCATTCCATTTATCCTCAGTCCAACCCTCCTTGAACTGAGCCAAATTACAAAATCTGTTTGCTATAAGCAAACATCGTTTTAGATCCTCTTTATGGATCTTAAATCCAAACCTTTTCAACAAAAGTTTAAGGTTGGAAATGGTCTCACCAAACTGTGACCCATTTGTTACCCAGAAAATTCCGGAGTCTTACCCTGACTCAACAGAATGTCGATTGCTCCCTTGTCTTCACAATACCTTGCTGAGAGGATTCGAGGTCCCTGTTCGGGGCGTCACTTGTCCTTGGTTTCTCTAGAGTGAAACCGGAGACCCCGGAAAGCACCAACTTTTAAAGAAAGAAAAGGAGACAGCCTGGGGGACGAACAGCAGTTTAATTCCTCTGGCACTATTTGACAATCACAAAGGAAAGAAGCAAGACTTTTATACATGTAGGAAAGCAGCTTAGTTATCCTGGCTATCGTCTTTCTGATTTTCACTGACTCCAACTTACTCAGTACAGTGGTCTGGTGTTCCAGTGTCCTCTGTGTCTTTGTAATGTGGAACCAGGTGGCAGTACAGCCAAGAGGCCAGAGCAGTGGGGCAGGGGGGCGGGGGGGGGCAGTGGATTGCTGCCGGGGTGTGGGCTGGATCAGCATGTTGCATGTGGCTCGGGACCTTGCTACAGCATCTGCAGACCTGCCTGTCTGAACCTTGTGCTTTATTTTAAATCACAACAAAATAACTAAATTTTAGATAACATTTACCAGGGCCTTATATTTTTTATGTAATTGAAAATTTCCAAAAATTGTTGATTCAAAGATAGACTATTATTTTGGAAGGAAGACCATTATTTTTCAACTACTGTGAAAAACAAGGGGAATTAATAAGAGACAGTTACAAAATCTACTTTTTGTTGTCATGTGAGATGACTAGTGTATCAATGATGAAATGTATAGATCACCATAGAAACTGTTATCATGAGCTAGTGGCAGTCATTTATTCTTGTGGGTAAAAGTAGACCAAGCAGGGCACAGGTGGCTCTAGCATGTGACATTCACTTAGAAAATGCAAAGACTTTAT